GTGCACACCATCACACGCATTTGGCACGGCTTTTCGTCTGTCTTCCTCCACCCCCTCCCCCCCCATCAGCATTTTCACTGTTTCAGTTTGTCGATCTTCATTCATCATCAGAAAACGCGCTCTTTTTGTTTAAATACTGTCTTTTTCCGTCTACTGTGCCTGAAAGTGCTCAAGCCAAACCCTTTTGGGGATTGACAGCTGAAAAGCCGCGGTCTTAGGCTAGATCCAATGTAAATTCGGCCTGCAGTATCTGAACTCTCAAAGGCTGGCCTCCGCGCTTTATGCACTCCATCTTGTTGGCTGGACTGAGTGGTTTTTGGCCGCCTGTTTTGATGAGGGCAGAGATTTCAAAGGTTGGCGGAGGACAAGGAGGAGGAGTTCACTTGTCGGCTAAAAATGCCTTTGAAGGAGGGTGTTTTAGGGGAGTTTGTTGAGTGCGTGCTTACGTGTTTTGCTTTGTAGATTCTGCTTTGTACTTTTAGTTCATAGTAATGACTGCGCTTGTTGTCCCCTTGCGTATAGTAGCGTCGTACTTCAGCAACAAGCGTATTAAAATCTCGATCAGTCGTTTGTCGGTTCTTTTAGGCACATCATAATTATCACCGCATAATTCACCTGCCGATATTTGCGAAGGCTTTTAGCCATGGCTGAGGTGCAGATCGGGACTGAATGCGTCCTTTTATCCAGTTTGCAAAGTGGGCACAGTTGCCTTGTTAATTTTATCCCTTGTGTCCTCGCTGCTTTTTTCTGGCGAGGTCCCTACTTTCCCTTTCCTCCGTGATAGCCGCCGATAGTCGATCGACCTCCAAAACAAAGACGACTTATTAAACAACATCGAAGGTCTTTATGTGCAGCGGGGAGTGATTACAGTATTCTATTATATCACTAAATATTTTGTTGTTTTTGCATGGGAAATCCTTCGATCAGATCAGTGCACTACCGCACCCGAATATATTACCACACTATATAGTTCGCGTCTGATTTTTCGTCAAATCCGGGTTGGCAATCGGCCCTCGCTGAGTTCCCAGTAAGCATGACTTTTATGGCCGCCTAAACGAACACTAGAACAGGAGCCGCCAGCATTACATGTGGTTTTGCGCCCAATTCCAGAAATATTAAGTTGTCGAATGTGGTTAGGGTTATGTTTAAGGTTATGGTTAGGGTCAGAATTTGGACTTGGGTCAAGGCCTAGGTCCGTGTCTACTGTAGGGTTTAGGTTCAGGGTAGGTTTAAGGTGAAATTCACAGTTTAGTTGTTTCATTTAAGGGCTACTGTTAAAGTTGATGCACGGAGCTATCTGCCTTTCGTGAAATGAATCGGAAGTCACCCATCTTAAGTAAGTGGGGACTTGCTATTCCCGTGTGCTGTTTAGACATGGCTGCCGGAGTCCCTTCGTGTGGGTTCACGCAGTAGGCCAACGGGCAGGTGCCATCTTCCCGTGAACTTACTGTCGGCTCGTTTCCTCGAATGCGCTTTCTTATTTACCGATACTGTCAGCCCAAGTATTTAATCTTGGAGACTTCGCCTTCAAGTTGTCGTCCAATAATTCACGATGCCGGTGCATATTCCAGTCTTAACGCCGTTCGATATACGTTGTCCACCTATCCACGTCTCTGTCGTGAAAACTTCTTTACGGGGATGGTTGGGCGGTGGGGGGCAACGTCTCTTACTTTCAAAACTCAGTACAATAAGCC